GCAGGAGCCACGGCCCAGCGCAGCCCCTGGCCCGCGCGGTCCCCCGTGCTCGGCCCACGCCCCCGTCTCCGTGTAGTCCCCGGCCTGGCCCACGCCCCCGCCTTCTGCATAGATGCTGTCTCCTATGGTGCTCGTGCGGTTTGACACGGAGAAGGCCGAGCCGCTGCGGGACACAAGGGGCTTCTGCATCCCTGTGGGTCCAGGTGAGGGCGGCGTGTCCTCAGGACGCGGGGGAGGGGGGAGCTGGACACGCGGTCTACGTGGCTGGCCGGCCCGGCCCCCACAGACCCCACTCCTTTACTGGCCTCTGGGCCTGTCCAACCCTGGGCTCCGTGTCCCCCATCGCCGTGCCTCCGTCCTCCGAGCGGCTCTCGCCGGCCTCCAGCGGAGGTCGCACCCTGCGTCCCGAGCCTTCGCCCTGTCCCTCTTCCCGCCGGGACCCTGGGGCGGAGGGCGGGCGGGGTCCGGTCTCTCGGTCCGCTGGTACCACCGCTACCTCCAGGGGAGGCCGGCCTCCTGTTGACCCGGGTGCTGGACCACAGCCCCTTCCTGGGCTACCGCGGTCCCCGGGAGCAGTCGGAGCGGAAACTGGTGCGGAACGTGCGGCGCGCGGGCGACGTCTACTACAACACCGGGGACGTGCTAGCTGCGGACCGTGAGGGCTTCCTGTACTGGCGCGACCGCCTGGGGGACACCTTCAGGTCCTGGGGCGGGACTTCCCGGATGGGCGGGACCTCCAGAGTGGGAAGGGGCCTGCGCTCGTGGGCGGGGCTTCCGGCGCGCGGGCGGGGCTTGCCGCGTGGGTGAGATCCCGGGGCGGGGCCTACCTCTGGCTTCTGCCCTGTAGATGGAAGGGTGAGAATGTGTCCACGCGGGAGGTGGAGGCCGTACTGTCCCGCGTGGACTTCTTGCGGGAAGTGAATGTCTACGGCGTGTCTGTGCCAGGTGCGGAACCTCGGGCAGCTGTGTGGGTGGAGGAAGTCCTGTTACCGATTCTGCAGATCGATGAACTACTGGGGCGCGGGGAAGTTTAGGGTCTGGGCAGGCTAGAGGGCCCACCTTGGCCTCGCGAGGTGAGTCCTTCGAGAGTGACCACTGTGCTTCCCAGGCTGTGAGGGTAAAGTGGGCATGGCTGCCGTGCAGCTGACCCCCGGTCAGGCTTTCGATGGGCAGAGGCTCTACCAGCACGTCCGCACCTGCCTCCCTGCCTACGCCACTCCCCACTTCGTCCGCATCCAGGTGAGTTGGGGGGGCCACAGTGGCCGGTGAGGGGTCCTGCAATGGGACAGCGGTGGGTGTCACAGGCAGGGAATGACAACCATCGCTCCGCAGGATGCCCTGGAAATCACAAGCACATTCAAACTGGTGAAGTCCCGTCTGGTGCGTGAGGGCTTCGATGTAGGGGTCGTCACTGATCCCCTGTTCATACTGGACAACAAAGCCCAGGCCTTCCGGCCCCTGACAGCAGACACGTACCAGGCTGTGTGTCAGGGTTTGTGGAAGCTTTGACCTGGCTAGCCCACAAGACATCCAACGGAGCTGAGGCTAACACCCCAGGATCACTTCCACCCCATTCCTGTGCCAAGTTCTGAGCCCGAATGCATAAGGGTCCCAGAACAGTGAAAATAAACAATGTATACATAGAACTGTGTGCCTATGAAACAGTGGAAAATGAAGGATCCAGTGTCCTCCAAGACAGGAGTCCTGGGTCCTAGGCAGGGACCTCAACCCTGGGGATAGTCCTGTCTGGTACTCAAAGGTGTAGTGGAACAGCTAGCAACAAGCTTTGCAGATAATGTAGGGTAGAGAGAGAAGCTTCCTGACTCCAACTGTGGTCTTTTGGGGACTGAGGCTACTGGGACAGAGTCAAGATGGAACAGTGCATGTGTCTTGTGATCTGCAGGGTGTGAGGAATGCTATGGATGCATACATAGTCTGACAAAACCCAGAGACACTGGAATGGGGCAGAGGGGAATAGAACAAACTACTTTGGTTTGTTATTGAAAGGAGGTCTCACCATATATCCCAGGCTTACCTCAAACTCACCATGTCGCTAAGAGTAGCCTTAACTTGTGATTTTCTTGCCCATCTTTTGAGCACTGAGATACAGATGGGGGCCACCACAATGTCTGTGAAATGGTTCTACAGATCCCTAAGCCTCTCAGTCTGCCACAGTGCACAGACTGACCTGGCCTTTGAAGGTGGAAGCACAGGCTGCACCCCACACAGATAAACAAGGAGCAAGGGAAGGGTCCATAAACTTCAGCCTCATTAGGAATGGAGCCATTGTCTGGAGCAGAAAAGATACAGCCTTGGGGCTAGTACAACTCAGGGCCTCTTGCTCTTCCTTGGCTCTTTTTGCTCAGGACTGGTTCCAAACCTCCACTTACAGCTTTTTGCTGTTTAGAGATGGAGTCTCACAGCCTTCTATACAGCTGGCTGCAAACTTCCATCTTCAAGTCTAAGCCTACTGAGTAGCTCGCATTACAAACATGAGCTACCAGCATCAACTGACTGATCAAGTATCTGATCATATCAGTCTCTAAGAACCCTTTCATGATTTATACTTTGTAAGTCAGTGAGGCCTTCATTACATTTCCTACAGTCAGACAAAGATGGCATCTGGCTATGGACTGAGGAAAACCACTCAGTCAATCCATTACCAAAGTGTTTGATGTATAAAATTTAGGAAAGCGAATGTATTTGGATTACAGAGCTTGACTCCTAGAATCACCTGCCTTCCAGGCCTGTTTCCTTCAGTGGAAAAAATGAGGCATACAATAGTGTCCTTAAAGGGTGTTTAGGGAGAGTAATTGACATGGCTGGGTGCCGGTGTTCACACCTGAAGTCCTAACTACTTGAAACTAGCCCAGGCAGGAAAATCAGTGAAATTCTTTTTTTGTTCAGTTGTGGGGCTTGAACTCAGGGCCTGGGCACTGTGCCTGAACTTTTTTACTCAAGACTAGTGCTCTAACACATAGAGCCACAGCTCAAATCTGGTTTTCTGGTAGTTAACTGGAGATGAGAGTCTCATGGACTTTCCTGCTCAGGCTCGTTTTGGACCATTATTGTCAGATCTTAGCCTCCTGCATAGCTTTCAGGCCTGAGCCACTGCTGCCCAGCTCTGTGGGATGCTTACCTCCAAATAACCATCCAAAAGTGGCACTGTGGCTCACAGTGGTAGAGCTCTATAGTCTTGAGCCCCAGGATACACACACACACACACAGGAGAGAGGGAATTGAAGCCTGGCCTCTGCCCTCTCACCATACCTACTGTGAAGTCCTGGGCTTTGACCTCTAAGTCCTAGTGGTGGCAGACCCTGACACTCCCCAGGGGAAACTACCAGCAGGGCACAACCTGTACCTCTGTCTGGCCTACCCACCAACTCTGGTCTCTGCTACTTTAGTTTTGTTTCTGGACCTGTTGGGCCTGGGCTTGGGTGGCTTCCTCCTCACCCACAGGACTGGCCTGCACACCTCTGACATCCTGAAGTCTCTTGTCAGCTGACTTTGTGCTCCATGAATGATGGTCACAAGGAAGTGGCAATGCTTGCTGACTACCCTGGACTTTGGAGACCCCCAACAGTCAGATAACATTGGATGGTGGGAATCAGCTTCTTGCATTTCAGCAGCTGGAAGAGGCATTATAAAAAGTGAGGAGAGGGCTGGGAAGGTGGCTCAGTGGTAGAGCGCTTGCATGCCTGAGGCCCTGGGTTCAATTCCTCAGCACCACATAAGCAAAAAGAAAAAAGCCGCAAGTGGCACTGTGGCTCAAGTGGTAGAGCGCTAGCCTTGAGCTGAAGAGCTGAGGGACAGCACCCAGGCCCAGAGGTTCAGGCCCCATAACCAGACCCCCACCCAAAAAAAGTGAGGAGAGCCGGGCGCTGGTAGCTCACACCTGTAATCCTATTCAGGAGACTGAGATCTGAGGATCATGGTTCAAAGCCAGCCCGGGCAGAAACATCAGAAAACCAGAAGTGGCACTGTTGCTCAAGCGGTAGAGCGCTAGCCTTGAGCTGAGGAGCACAGGGACAGTGCCCAAGCCCAGAGTTCAAGCCCCACAACCGACAAAAAAAAAGTGAGAAGCTGGGTGCTGGTGGTTCACACCTGTCATCCCAGCTACTCAGGAGGCAGAGATCTGAGAATCGCAGTTGAAAGCCAGCCTAGGCAGCATACTCCATGAGACTATCACCAATAAACCACCAGAAACACCAGAAGTGGTGCTATGACTCAAGTGGTAGAGCATTAGCCTTGAGCTGAAGAGCTGAGGGACAGCGCCCAGGTATAGAGTTCAGGCCCCAGAACCGACCAAAAAAAAAAAAACAACAACAACACTTCTGAGGATCTTCATGGGCTATCCCAGGGACAAGCCAAAGCTGTTTACTTCTCAACTGACATTTCATCTCTAAGGCATCTCACAGACAAGGTTGTGGTATTGGTGGGGGCAGCCCCAAGTCAGAGGTAGTTTGTATTACCCAGTCCCTCCTTATAGATGTGAAATGAAGGACAAATATGTCATGAAAGAGCTCACTGGACCCTGAATTACAAGTTTACCAGCACTTTATACTATTCATGTCTCCCTGAACCTCAGCTGCCTTCATCATTCATTTTTTGCTACTACACTATTTGTAAGGATTAAAGGTAATCATTAGCCAGGTGCCACTGGCTCATGACTGTAACCCTAGCTATTTAGGAGACTGAGATCAGGAGGATCATGGCTTGAGGCCCATCAGGAAGAAAAAGTTTGCTATACTCTTATCTCCAAAATATCCAGCAGCACACTGGCCTGCTGCACGATTGTCAGTCAGGGGCAGGCAGGGTCTGCACATGGCACGAGACATGCACTTGCACCTGTCCTTTAGGAGGTCTCAAAAGGAAATGTCCTTACTGCCCCAAGCCCTGGCCCGTCAACACCCAATCCAAGTCCCTCTGGATCCTGGGCAGTTTTCCTGTGGTTCCCATGACAGGCAGAGAGCACTGGGCTATTCTTGCCACAAATCAGGATTTTTATTCAAAAACTCCCATTATAGAAGTATAATTTTTGTTAAAAAATGTAGCACATGGAGACCCTGGGGTCACACACAGCAGGATGGTCCCAGCTGTGCTTTGCTGGGCTTCCAGCATTTTCCAAAGACCAGGCCCTGCCACTGTGCAGAGGACAGGCCAAGGCAGTTTGGGGTTCTAGAATTAGGACTGGGCCTGACAGCCGGCAGGAGCAAGCTTGGTACTGTTGGTCCATATGGGGTCCTCACTGGCCCCAGAGCTTCCAGAGGCAGAGCCTGTGCTGGGGTGCTGCACTTAGGCCTGCAGCCCCTAAAGCCAACACCTTCTCGAGGGTCACGGGGCCTGGGGCAGGTGGCTCTTTCTATGAATGACCAGGTGGGACTTCCAATCAAAACCACAGCCACAGTCAACACAGAAGTGCCGCCGCTGGCCCGCATGGCTCTTGCGGTGGATGACCAGCTGCGACTTCCAGCTAAAGCTGCGCCCGCAGTCCTCACAGGAGTAGCTCCGGCGCATCGCTGGCTCCCGGAGCACCTGTGACGGCCTCTCTGGGCCTGCCCCACCCACATGTGTTCGATGGTGGATGACAAACAGTGCCTTCCAGTCGAAGCTCTGGCCACACTGTTCACAGGTGTAAGGCCTTTGTGGCGTAGGCTGGGAGCAGGGCCTGGGCAGTGGTCCTGGGGCTGGCCCCTCTTGAGTTTCAGATGGGTTCTTGTTCAGACTCTGGCTCTCACCTGGATGGGGTGTACAGGCCTGGCCAAGGCCTGGCCCTGTGTCCCCCGCTCCCAAGTGCTGAGGCTCCATGCCCCGCGTCCCCGCTTCAGACTCAGCTGCCATTACCTGCCCAGGGGGCTGCAGCCCTGTTGGGGTGGGGGATGTCAGACAGGGTACAGGCACACAGAATTGGGAAGGGGATGGCAGCTGGGGCTGTGCACACAGAACCCTCTTTGGATAGAGGGACCTACGGCCAGGTGCTGGGCAGCTTCCGAGGGGTCCTAATGCCACCAAGTGTACAGTTGGGAGCTGCACAGGGAAGGGAAGGGAAGGTGGACGGGTCAGGGAACGGCTGGAGCCCTCACCCAGAGACATCACTGCGCCGTACTTCTCCAGCATCACATCCCAGTACAGCTCCTTCTGCGACGGGCCCAGCAGTCCCCACTCTTCCTGCCAGGGTGCACTCAGTTACTACCACACCAGCCAGTGTCACATCTTACCCATCACCTAGGGGAAAGCGGGCCAGGGACGAGGGCAAGAGGAAGTCTTGTGGGTGTTGGTCTGGCTTTCAGATCGTCTGGTCAGCCTCACAGCACTCATCCCAGAGTTACCCACCTCAGTGCTGGTGAAGACAGAACTGAGGGAAGGCTGTATGGAGTCCGGGCAGGAACACCATGGTTGGTCTCAGTGTTCCTCCATCACTGAGCCCTAAACTCCTGTAGCTAGAGGGAAGCTAAGGAGAGGGGTGCGGAGAGCAGGACCAGGTAAAGTGGTGTGTGCAGCCAGTCATCTCAGGACTGTAAGAAAGTGAGGGGGCAGTAGTGGTGCAGGACAGCCAGGGCTGCTACTGCCTGTGCTGCTGTGACAGAGTCCTGGGGAGGGTGAGCCTCATGGCTCAGCAGGGCCCAGCCACGGCTTTTGTCCAATAGATCCCTGCCTCAAGTCCCATTTGGGATTTTTCTGGGTTGAAAAAATATATATATACAATAATTATACATATTATATACACATACTTGTATATATATACAGTTATTTATGTGTGTACATATATATGTGTGTGTGTATATATATATATATATATATAGTGAGACTTGAATTCAGGGCCTGGGCACTGTCCCTGAGCTCTTTTGCTCAAGGCTAGGGCTCCATCACTTTGAGCCACAGCTCCACTTCTGGTTTCTGAGTGGTTAATTGGAGGTAAGAGTCTCGTAGGGGGTAAGGTGGGGAATGTGGCTTAGTGGTAGAGTGCTTGCCTAGCATGCATGAAACCCTGGGCTTGATTCCTCAGTTCCACAGACAGAAAAAGCCAGAAGAGGAGCCATGGTTCAACTTGTAGAATTGAGCAAAAGCAGCTCAGGGACAGTGCCCAGGCCCTGAGTTGAAGCCCTAGGACTGGCAAAGAAAAAAAAAAAAAAGTCTCATGAGTACTTTTCTGCCCCAGCTGGCTTTGAACTGTGATCCTCAGATCTTAGCCTTCCGAGAAGCTAGGATTACAGTGTGAGCCACTGGCACTCAGGGGGAAAGATAATTTGAAGGACAGGCTAAAGCAGGTGTGAGGGCAGACGGGGACAGTGCTTAGCCACAGCTAGACATGGTATTGGATGGAGGTGAGTGCACCAGAGGGTCCTCCTGGTCTTTTTTTTTTTTTTAAATCAGTATGGGGCTTGAACTCTGGGCCTGGGCGCTGTCCCTGACCTCTTCTGCTCAAGGCTAGCACTCTACCATTTTGAGCCACAGCACCACTTCCTGTTTTCTGTGGTTAACCGGAGATAAGAGTCTCATGGACTTTCCTGGCTAGGCTGGCTTTGAACCATGATCTTCACAGCTCAGCCTCCTGAGTAGCTAGGATACAGATGTGAGCCACTAGTGCCCAGTCTTCCTCTCAGTCTGGAAGCATGTTTCCTGTGGAATGGAACTCCCAAAGTGGAGAAGCTTAGAAGCAGAAGAGCTGGAAAAGAACAAGACTTCTACCATGTACACTCAGGAATGGTGTGTTCCTGAGAGCAGGGGCTCAGAGCTGAGCCTCTGGAAGGTCTCTAAATAGACTAAGTGGTATCCTTTCAATGAGGCCAGCTCTCTGTCCTTCCCTCTGTAGTCGCTGGGGTACCCCACTACTAATGCCACTCCTGGGCAGTAAAGAGTGGCTAAAGAGCCTGGAAAGCCACAACAGATGGTGGCCAGCAGGGACAATCCCCTCCCACATCCACAACCTCTACTTCCTATGAGGGTCTGCTCACCTGGGTCCTGGGTGGGTGGCAGGATGTGGAGGCTGGTTCCTGATGTTCAAGACACCCCTCAGGGGACTGGGCTAAAGGCCGAGGGCGGGGACATGCTGAGAAGTGAGGCAGACAGGAAGGGCTGTCAAGCGCTGATGCTACTGCTGGTGCCTGGACCTGCCTCCACCACTTACGTGACAGGCAGGCAGCCCTGTGCTCCTCCTAAAGATCCCCTTCCTAGCTGGAGATACATCCTCATTTCAGGAGGCCCAACCCCAGCACAATCTCCTAGGAAATATGACAGCCCTCCACCACCCCTGGCCCTGGGTTGGCACCCTCACCCATCTGCCCATAGGCACTGGGCTCTTCCTTTACACTGCAGCTGAGTGGGGCAGACTCCTCCATCCTGGCTTCCTCCTGACCCTCCCCTGGGGCCACCCTGGAGGGCTCCACTGTGTCTGAGAGATGGAGGAACCCTGAGGATTCCTCTGTCTTCGGAGCTGCAGGGAGCACCTCTGGCTTCAGGATATGAGCTGTGATCTGAGGAAAAGAGGCCAGTCACCGGGGCTGACAGGACTGCAGTCTGTCCCTGTAAGAAGCCAATGCTGCCACACTCACCCAGCCCAGCAGCTTCCCAGGGTCATGCTGCAGCCCCTCCACCAGGGCTGCTGCCTCGTCAGGGCTTCCTGGCTGCTGTCCTCGCACCCAGGCCTGTATCTCAGGAGGCAGCGAGCCCAGGAACTGCTCCAGCACAAGTAGCTCCAGCATCTGCTCCTTGGAGCACAGCTCAGGCTGCAGCCACTGGTGACACAGCTCTCGCAGCCGGGCCAGTGCTTCTCTGGGCCCAGCCACCTCCTTGTAGCAGAAGCCCCGAAATTTCATCCGTGCAGCCTCAATCTCAACAGTGGTCTTGGGGTCTCTGAGGGGCAGATGTGGGGGACCCAGAGGAGATGGCATTCTTGTTCTGAAGGGTCTTACTGGAATCATCCAGGAGGGACCTACATACAGAGGAGGGATCAGTGTCACCAGAGGGGCTGGCAAGCCAGGCAGCCCACACCTGTAATCCTAACTGTTCAATAGGCTGAGAGCTGGAGGATCTCAGTGGCCCCAGTAGAAAAGTATACTAGATACTATCTCCAAAATAACCAGAAAAAAGCAGGGCTGGAACCAGGTGCTGATGGTTCACACCTGTAATCCTACCTTCTCAAAAACTGACTTCTGAGGGCCCGTAGTTCAAAGGGCAAGAAAATCCAAAAAGACTCTTAATCTCCAATTAAGCATCAAAAAACAGCTATAAGTGGTGCTGTGGCTCAAGTGACAGAGTGCTACCTTTTAGCAAAAGAGGCTCAGGAACAGTGCCCAGGACCTGAGTTCAAGTCCCAGGACCAGCAGGAAAAAAAAAAAAGCAGCAGCCTGGGAAGGTGGCTCAGTGGTAGAGCGCTTGCCTCGCATGGATGAGGCCCTGGGTTTGATTCCTCAGCACCACATAAACAGAAAAAGCTGGAAGTGGTGCTGTGGCTCAAGTGGTAGAACGCTAGCCTTGAGCTGAACAGCTGAGTGGCAACGCCCAGGCCTAGAGTTCAGGCCCCAGGAGTGACAAAAAAAAAGGGGGGGGGAGGGCCTTAGAGCAATAGCCTAGCGAGTGCAAGGCCCGGAGTTCAAATCCTAGTAACACATACATACATACATACATATACAGGACATTAGACACCAGGACCCACCAAGAGTCCAGACTGCCGCCGAGAAGCCTGAGGAAGGGGAAGACGGGTCGGGAAAGGCGCACACCAGTCGGATGCGGGGAAGCGGGAGAGCTGCAGAAAAATAACAGCGGAGTTACACCCAGAGCTGTTGGGTGATGGGAAAGTGGATCTTTCCAGAAATAGACGGGCCGCCGGGGCGGGGTCCGGGTGACTGGGGTCCGAGGGCGGGGAAGGGGGACGGGAGCCCCTGAGGACTGGGCAGAGCCTGGGCCCGGCCGGCATCTGTCCCTCCTTTGGCTTCGGGGTCCGCACAAATCTAATCTCGAAGGAGGGAGGCGGGCGTGAGCAACCCAGCGGTGTGGACGCCCGGTACTGACGGGGCCCGGGTTACTGCCAAAGCGCAATGCAGACGAGAGGCCCCGCGGCCCGGGGACGCGCCGCCGGGAGGCCGGCCTGCGGACGACGCTGGGCAGCGGACTGCGCCCTCCTGGCGGGGAGTCACGCGAGCGCGCCCGGCCGGGGTCGCGCTCACTTTTGCCTCGCGCCGGGCCCCGGGCCACTTCCGGGAAGTGGCGCCGCGCTGGGACGCCCGCCACTCAAAGCATGGCCCGCCCGCTTGTTGCCCGAGCGACGACGCTCCGACCCATCCGGGTACCTGCCTCGCAAGCAGCGACCCCTCCCATGGGCTGCGCGTCCGGTGAGCCTGGGGAAGGGCAGGGCTCACTTTCAGAGCCCTTTCGCGACCGAGAGACGATCCATTCCTCTCGAGTCTCTGATGCCAAAGCATCCCGGGTCTCTATCCCCGCCTCACTCTGTTTGCTCCCAATTTCCTACTCACCCCCGGCGACCCACCGAGCACATCGGCTCCTGCGCATGTGCAGAGCGGACCCAGCTCCTATTGGCTGAGGGAGAAATTTCCTAACCAATCAAACCCGGTACCTGCGCGGGCCCCGCCCCGGCTCCCCGGGGGCGGCTTCCGGTGTGCCGGCTCGCCGGTAACCGGCGGAGCATCCCGATACCCCGGGGTGGACCGTGCACGTCGCCTTGCTGCGGGGGCGGACGGCTGTAACCCGTGGACAGCGGCCTCCAGCGCCGAGCAATATATTTTCCCAGCGCCTGCCGCGAAAAGCCCGGCCCCGCGGGTTCTGGTGCGCCCTGCGGGGCTCCCGTGGTTCGGGCGTTTGCCGGGAGGGTGGGGAAGGCGACAGGGCAAGGTCTCCTTCCTAGGACTCACCAGAAACCAGTTTCACCACCTGCCGAGCCGGGGCTCGGGGCCTCTCCCCTCGGAACAGCCTGGCAGGCTCCTTGGCTCTTGAGCCTCCCGTCCTGCGGGAGGCTGCCTTGTGGTTTTCTCCATGCGGTTGCTGTGGACTCTAGCCTGTTCTCATACTAGTGCATTTTTGTTATTTTCTTTGTCAGTCACGGGTCTTGGACTCTGGGCCTGGGTGCTGTCCCTCAGTTTTATCAATTGAGGCATGGTGCCACTTCCGGCTTTTTGGTGGTATATTGGAGATCAGAGTCTCACGGACATTTTTGCCCAGGCTGGCTTTGAACTGCGATCATCACATCTCAGCCTCCTGAGTAGCCAGGATGACAGGCCTGAGTGCCACTGGCGCTCAGCTCATACTAGTGAATTTGCCTCACTATTGCCTGAGGTGTGCGTGACAAGCTAAGTGTGATGCCAAAAAAGTCCAGGGACAGCGTTAGTCACTTCTTCAGGATTAAAATGGGTCAGCCACTAAGCGCCAGTGGCTCACGCCTGCAATCCTAACTACTCAGGAGGCCCAGATCTGCGAATTGTGGTTTAAAGCCAGCCCCACAGGAAAGTGAAAATCTTACCTCCAGTTAAAAGCCAGAAGCAGAACTGTGGCTCAAGTAGTAGATACTAGCCTTGAGAAAAAGCTCAGGGATGGCATCCCAGACCAATAAGTTCAAGTCTCGGGACTGGCACAAAAAAAAAGGGAGAAAAAAAGGGAGACAGCAAAAGGACACTTTCAGTGGCCAAAACATGGAATGGGAAGGAAGCTCAGGACATTGGGAGTAGATCAAGGAGCTAAAGGACAGGACAACAGGCCCAAGCAAAGGTGGGAGAAGAGCTCAACTGGAGGCTGGTGGTCAGACCAGGACAGTTCAGGCTGAAGTCTGACTCCAGAAGCTCCTTTCTAAGGAGTTTTCTGTGCCTTTCCAAGTCACAGAAAAGGTTTCGTAGAATGTGGTTGGGGCACAATTTCAATAGATGCCTTTGATCCTGAATCCCATGGACTCTACATAAAATTCTTCCATGGTAAGGTTCAGAGGTTTGCATTTCATAACTTTGCTATGGACAATGGTTCAGGGGTCTCCAGGGTAACAGGAAGCCCAGCTTGGATCTGCAGCTTAGCCCTTCTTACCACCCCTTACACAGCTTATGGGTCTTGCCCCACTGGTGAATGAGACTGATAGCATTATCTGTGTAATGGGACTGTAACAATCATTGGACTGGAGTCAAACTTTCCAGGTGGTCATACATGGCTACCCTCACTCTGCCTTAGCAGCAGACAGAACACAGCCTTACCTACCTGACCCTGATCATCTGAATCCACAAAGACTCACTTCTGTGAGAGCTGCTGCTCCTACAGAGACCGACCCACCCTGCTGAGATATCTAAAACCTCTCTGGCCTATTACACATCTACTTTGTGGCATTTCAGGGGGACCCATGGTGGAAGTCAAATCCCTGAACCAGATGGGTGCTATGGCTTATGCCTGTAATTCTAACTTCACAGGAGGCTTAGATCTGAGGATCATGGTTCAAAGCCAGCCTGGGCAAGAAAGTTTATGAGACTCCTATCTCCAATAAATCATTCAGAAAACCAGAAGTGGTACTATGGCTCAAGCGGTAGAGCGCTCGTCTTGAGCTGAAGAGTGCAGGGACAGTGCCCAAGCGCAGAATTCAAGCCCCACGACTGACCCAAAAATAAATAAATAAAACCTTTAGCTGGGTGCCCCTGGCTTATGCCTATTAACTCAGAGGAGGCTGAGATCTGGGGATCAAGGTTCAAAGCCAGTCCAGGCCTACAAATCCAGAGACATTTTTTGTCGGTGGTGGGGGCTGAACTCTGGGCCTGGGCACTGTCCCTCAGCTCTTCAGCTCAAGGCTAGTGCCCTATCACTTGAGCCATAGCACTACTTCTGGCTTTTTTCTACTTATGTGGTGCTGAGGAATTGAACCCAGAGCCTTATGCATGCAAGGCAAGCACTCTACCACTGAGCCACCTTCCCAGCCTCCCAGATACTCATCTCCAATTAGCCAGCAGAAATCCAATTGGCTCAAGTAATTAAGAATGCTGATTATAATAGAAAAGGCTGAGCAAGAGAATGAGGACTAGTTCAAGTGCCAGTAGCCGCACCCAAAAAAAAAAAAAAAAGTGGGGGAGAGGGGGGGAAGGAAGAAAAAGAAAGCTTTTGTCAGGAAGCCTCCCCTTTGAGCTTATTAAAACCTGACCCATGCCCAAGAGTTGAGAAAAGGCTGAGCCTGTGGACTTCTATACTCCTACATAAGAAACCACACTTTATCCATTCTGAGTTGTAAATGCTAATGTTTTTGTTTTCTTCCTGGCAAAAAAAACAAAACCATGTGATTCTGGGTCCAGACTGGATTGGACTTAAGGCTTAGTTTGCAGAAGACCTAGAAGGCTATGGGAGAGTAAACTTCCCTGTGCAGTCTTGGGTAATGCTATTCAATTTTCTTTCAACCAAGGTGGGCACACAACCAAACTCAGCAAATGTGAACAGCCCCATCATATGTCCTCAAGTGATCATAACTACCTTGGATGTGAAGGTTCCTCAAGACACTGACCTGACAAGACTTGACAATGGTGTGAAAGCAGCCCTCTTGATCAGGCAGTGCTGAAAGCCACATATTTTTTTTTTTTGGGGGGGGGGTCTGGTTGTGGGGCCTGAACCCTGGGCCTGGGCACTGTCCCTCAGCTCTTCAGCTCAAGGCTAGCACTCTATAACTTGAGTCACAGCGCCACT